ATTTGAAAATAAAAGTATATAAAGTTGTATTGGATTTTAACCCAAAGTGCAGTATAAATACCATGAGTCCATACTGAGAAAAATTAGTGATTTCTTAATTCCACAAACAAGGATAGACAACTCTCCCACAGAGAAAAATTCCAGTTTATGCAGACACTCCCACTTCTAGAAAGTGGAGTCTAACTCCCTACCCCTGAAGCCATGGACCATACATCGTGACTTTCTTCCAAAGAGGACAGATGGAAAGGGGACATAAAGCAATCACTTTATCACATAGACACCTGACAAGCACTACCTCAGCCACATGATCAATGAGAGCATCACCAATGATGAATTGTACTAATAGAATACACACTTGCTATGCTGTGATGAGAATGGGATTTTACATCTGTAATATTCCTCCCCCAAACTCGTAATCCCAGACTAGTCATGAGTAAAATATCAGACAAATCTCCCAATCAAGGGACATTGTTCAAAACATCTACTGAGTACTCCTCAAAACTGTCAAGATCATCCAAAACAAAGAACTGTGAAAGCTAAGAGGAACCCGAGGATACATTACAACTAAATGTTAGGGTGATTTCCTGGCCAGGATCCTGGAGCGGGTAAAACCTATAGAAATCTGAGTAAAGTGTGGGCTTCAGTTGACAATAAATAATGCATCAATACTTCCTCATTAATTGTAATAAATGTATCATATTAATGTAAGATATTAGGAATAGGGGAAGCTGGGAGAGGGCATATGAGAATTCCACTATTTTCACAAATATTATTCAAATCTTAAAGGATTACAAAGGAAAAGGTCAAAATAAAATCTATTGACAGTTTCAAAATAAAAGACACAAGGAAACTTACGGCAAAACATGCTGAGTATGTTAAAAAAGGAAATAGAAAGGAAACCAAGCACAAGCACACGGAACTTGTAGGTGTGAAACAACCCTTCCTAAATTATCTTCAGCTTTTCCTCTCCCTTAACCTTCAGTCTCATATAATAAACTAACCAGGCCTCTTCCACCACAGAAACATCTCTGGATCCAATTTTTCTCAAGCCCCACAAACACTGCCCTTATCCAAACTCATAGATGGTTTCCCTGGATATGACAAGAGCCACCAATCGAGGCCAGGTGTAGACCTAGAACCCTGTATTGCTCAAAAACCACTTTAAGACGTCTGCCAGTGTTATTTGCCACAGATGTCTGACAAGTGCCAGGCAGGGGTCAGTGTCTTGACAAAGAAACAAGGGTCCAGAGCAAAACTTAAGCTGTGCATATGTGTGTACGTGCTTAGTCGCTCAGTATGTTCGACTCTTTGTGACCCCACAGACTGTAGCCCACCCACGCCCTTGGGCTCCGGTCCATGGGATTTCCCAGGCAAGAATACCGGAGTGGGATGCCATTTCCTCCTCCAGAGTATCTTCTCACCCAGGGATCGAACCTGTGTCTCCCACATTGCAGTTGACTATTTAACACTGAGCCTCCAGGGAAGCCATGAGGAAACACAGGGACTTCTCAGAGGAGCAGAACATTCACTGAGAATCCTTAAGCCAGGGGAGTTGCCTGTCCCATCGGTGATGCCCTAGGCAAGATCAGCTTGGGAACAGTGTGGTGTGTTTTCACAGAGAGGCGGCTGCTGAAGATGCTGGATCCTGAAAATGACCTCCAGATAAGTCGGTGGGGGCAGGGGGCAGTTTGGGCCTCCTAGCAGCCAAAGGCCTGAGGTTCTTAGGTACCCAGAGCAAGATCCCACCCACACCTAACAGTCATATCCAATAAGGGGCATGAGGAGTACCTGTTATGATGGCTGTCACATGTCCATCCTGGAGTGCCCCCCCAACCCCCGGGGCTGTGGTCCCGGCCTTGGCCTCAGAGCACAGATGATCTCATGGAGGCCAGGGCGGCAGCTCACCTGCAGCAGCATCTCCTCCCCACTCCCTCTCCTGACCAGCCCTGGGCAGGTCAGATGGGATCTCCAGGGGCTTGCTGCTTCCACCTCTCTGGGGCAGCCGACTCTCTTTGCAGCCTGCACTCCTGGGACCACAATGTCCTCTCCTGCCTGGTTCCTTTCCAAATCCTCGTTTGAGTCTGGAGCCTCTGGCACCTAGGAGGGCATCCTGGGTACCACCCCTGCCATCTGCTAGAGCCTGTCCTCTGTTCAAACAGTCCGACTGGCTCCTAGTTGGCTCTGCAGGTGGCTGACCAGACACCCCTCTGCCTCTCATACTCAACCTCGAAAGCCATGACCTTACAGTCACATTTAGAAGACCCTGAGTTTTCTCCAGCACGTGGGATTCCACAGGGAATGGTCTGATACACCTCAGGATCATAGAGATGTGCCCCATGCATCCATGGCAATGATTACTACTGAGCGTCCACAAGAAGAGTCAAGTCCTGCCAGCTCCACCTTTAGCACCGTGGAAGGGGACGCTGCTCTGGGACTTCCAGATAAAGATACACACATGAGGTCATCAGGATCAGGGCCTAAGCCACTCTCAGTGGGGGGGGGGGGGGGGGGCAGGTAGGACAAAACCCAAGGCCAGGTTCTGAGGGAGTGGGGGCACTGTGGGCAGCAGGGGTGTATCGGGGGAGGGGTGTGGCTTGTGGCTGGGGCCCATGAGAAGGATGTGAAGGATGCTCCCAACTCCAACAGGGACCTTTGACAGCTGGTTGCTGTCCTTCTGATGGAGACCGAGCAGAACCCCGAGGGGACTCACAGTGCAGCTCAGCGGGGGTGGGGGCACGCTGTAGGTTGGGGGTGCGTGGAATTCCTGTAGCCAGCTCCCTGTGGGCAGCCTCTCTCAAGGGTCAGAGGACTTTAGTCTCTGGAAGAAAAACCTCACTCGGAGTGGTCTGTGTCTTAGTGTTGTCCTGATTTGAGGATTAACTCCCAGGTGCCTGTGTCCCTTCAAAACAAATGGTCATGACAAAAATGCTTCTTCTCAAAGTTCACTGATCACGGGTCATCACATCACCCTTCCTAAGTGAAGAGGCCTGGCAGGCTCATGTCCCCATGTGTGCAGGGAGAGAGGAAGACAAGAGGTGGTGGAGCACCTAACATCTCTCCAATTCCACACTGCCTAACAGATGCTCAACAAAGAGCAGTAGTCAGAATTTATAATGACAAAATCTCAAAAAAAAAAAAAGACAAAATCTCCTATGTTTTGGGGAAGAGAGTCTGAGCAGGTCACATGGGTCTTGAAATTCTCCACCTTTTCCAAGTGTCCATTGACTATGTGGCAGTGACCACATGTGTGGCCAGAATCACATCTCCTGTTCCCATTGTTCTCTGGCACTCAGCATGGAGAGCTGCCCCTTCAGCCCCTTGCACCCACACGCACACCCCACTGCAGTGGCCTCTCCACCTCCTTAGGCCCAGAACTCACTCCTGTCATTTGATGCCAGGCACAGCCTTAGCCTGTGAGTCTCTGCTGTCTCCACACTTCTGAACTTGCATGAACCCGGGGACGCTGGTGGATGTTGCATCTTTCCTGGCTAGCACTTATTTCTTGTGTTATTCGGATCTCAGACTCTGTCCCTCTCTCCTCTGGAAATAGCTTTGTTTTCAAGACACCTCATAGGATTGCCAGCTCAATAGGAAACGGAATAGAAAACCAGTCAAAATTGCCGCTCTGTGTGTTTTCCTCCTAGAGGTTATATTATTCAATTTGGCTGTTAGTGTGTGTTTGAGGGGGTGGGAAACAGTGTCTTTCCTGGCTGGGAATCAAAGTTCGCAGGATCCAGTCACCCAGCAGGATTTCCCCACATTCACTCATTTCATCCCTCTGAAATCTAGACCATGCTCACAAGTGGCCAAAATAAAGTCCAGATGACCAAGTCAGTGCTCATTTCAATATATTGGTAATCAGCTTTCCCAGGACAGAGAGAAGAGGGCCAACCCAGGGAATACTTGGCCATACTTCAAAGCAACATTCACCTTTCTCCAGGATTCTGATCAGATGGTGGGGCAGTGGTAGAAAACACCTCCTTTGCCCCTGTGGTCAACAGCAATGCAACAACTGTCAGGACCCCTTCCTTTCCACCCCAGCAAGAGATCTCTCTGTGTTTTATCCAAGATGCAAAAGGACACCTCACACCAATGATTCATTTCAGACTTTCCTGTCACCCCCAAGATACACTGTCGGCAGGTCTGAGGGATGCCATCATGCAGCCTCATCACGATGACCTCCCACAGAAGGAACCCAGCTTCCCAAAGCCCCAGAACACTCTGGCTCAGACACTGACATTCCAGGGCTCCTCCTGGAGCCTCACCGCCCTGGCCCATGCTGCCTTGTTTAGTGTGACTAGGGGACTTCTCTCCACCTTCTTTGTGTGACTAGGGCTACTAGAGCATCGCTCTAGGTGCAGGGGTGTCCTGCTTCTCCTAGTGTCCCCACTACAAACCCAGCCTTTCACAGAGCAGAGGCTCCGTAAAGGTCTTTGGAATACACGAGCCAGTGAGCAGGGGGCTCAATTAATTATCTGCTACTTCCTTAAATAACCCAGGCAAATCCAAATGCACAAGAGATAATTTAGTTTTTGAAAATGACACACAAGAAGGGCAGAAGCATGAATTCTCTACAATTGTTTTTATCATCTAGTTCATCCCCCATCAATGTTACTGCTAAGTAAGCTCACTTTTCCAAAACAGTTCTAATTCCAATTCCATTGCATTCTGTTCAGGACCACAAAACACAATGGAAGAGTTTCCAATATCTTTTACAAAACAGCAAAACTCTTGTTCATGAATTGGATAAGCACAAACGCACTGTGATCAGCATCATTCGTGAAGCTAAGACACTGAAGTTTATTTAGTCTTCTATGAAAACAAGCAAAGTTTGAATTTTTTCTAAGGAAAACAGGTGAATCTCCAAGTCATTATAGAGAACAGGAACCCAAAGATGCTATACACTGGTTCCCCAAAGTGCCCCAGGGCCTCACTTCTGAGAAGGCTGACTGCTCCGTCTTCAATCACAGAGGGAAGGATCACCTGGATCCTGCTCTGGCTCAGGCAGCCTCATCCTCCTCCCTTGCAGCCTCTGCAGACAGGGGTGGGAAGGCCCTCGAAGCCCTTTCTTTGATCCTGAGCAGAAATGCCATGACTTCCCGCTTGCTGGTCTCCGCATAGGCCCGGGGACCCCACAGGAACTCATAGCGAGCAGGGTAGCTGTAAGGCACCTGCCGGTACTCCAGGTACCCCTCCTGCACCCACACGTGTGTCAGAAGTGTCCTGGGCTCCCCAAAGACACAGTGCACACTCCCGACACACACACCCAATCTGCTGAGTGCTCCCCAGACCTTCTCCTCAGGGGCGCGGTCTCCATTCTGCATGATCAGGCTGAGGATCAGCACCAGGAGGCCGGCCTTGGGCATGCTCTGCCCACTGCTCAGCATCACATCATAGGTGAGGCCCAGATTGGGGACCATGATGTAGATGTGCTCCCTGGGGTCCACCTCCTTCACCTCCACACCACAGACCAGCTCCAGGCAATGCGAGGCTTGGCTGAAGACCACCGGGAAGTGCTCCTGGTTATCCCTGAGGACCTTCTTCAGTATTTCCGCCTGGGAGGTCAGCTCCTTAGCTAGATACTTGAAGGGCAGGAACTTTATCAGGTTAGCTTTCATCTCCTTCAGAGCCTCCGGGGGCAAGAACTCCCCAGTGGCTACGGAGGACACTGTGAGGGAGGTGGCTGAGGCGGATGCAGCCACCTCTGCCTCAGCCCCCAAGAGCTGCACAATTCACTGGGCACTGGGCCTCGCCAGGGTCCTGAAAGTCTTCCTCGGGCTTGCTCAGCTCACTCATCTCGACCACGAGCACGATGCCTGGGATCAAACCACAGACAGGAGTGAGGCAGGAGAATAGATGGGGATCACGGGCCAGGCTAGGGGAGAGAGGGGCTGTGACTGGCCTCAGCTGAGAACCACACCCTGGGCGGTCTCACACAGGCCACTTACAGGTCTCCTTTTGAGGGGTGCTCTCAGACCTCACAGGGGCAAGCCTCCAGGGCAGCCAGTCCACTGGCTACCTGAAGGAGGAAGTGAGGTGTCTCCCCATGGTGCAGTCAGCACAGTCTGACATTTCCAGGGCTGACAAGGTGGGGGATTAGGCCCTTGTGGGGTCCCCTCTGCTCTGGGATGGGGAGCTCCTGGTGCACACTCAGGGCACCCTCCTCACCTTGACTCCTGGGACTGCCTGGACCACCTCTGCCCTCTGACCTCAGGACTGGAGCCTCAGTCCTCTGCCTTCCTCTCCTGGTTCCTGGAGTCCTGTGAGAGAAAGGGAGGGGGCAGCTCTGCGGTATCCTGTGGCACAGCCCTGAGCCTTCCATGACAGTATGAGGGGTAGACTCTGCGAGGTCCCCCAAGTTGTGTGGTAGGAGGTCCCCTCACGGCTCCCTTGTAGTGCTCACCTTTCCCCTGGCACGGCCTGGTCCCTCCCCTATGGGGACCTGCATGGAAATTCTGAACAAGGTCCGAGCCTGAACAGAAAGCGCTAAGGGGCTCCACATGCAGCAGCCGCACCTACCTAGGGTTTCCTGTGGGTCCTAGGCTGGGGAGATGCTCAGTCCTCAACTCCTCCTCACGTCCTGCCTTGTCCTCCCAGCACTGACCACAGGGGCGGGGGTCTCCTCAGTCCCCCCTCGGGTTTGGGGAGTCCAGCCTCTGCCGACCTGAAGTCTCCACCCTCCGCCGGAAAAACCTCACCTCCCAAGGTCCCTAAGCCAGAGGCCAAGAATCTGCTCGCCCCGCTTTAGGGCCCCCAAGAGTCCACACAAGGGCCAGGATCCCTGTCTCCCTGTTGGGGTCTTTCTGCCTCTTTCCATCCTCAAATGCAGCCTGGACTCCAGGCAGGACCGCGGACTGTCCTGGACTGTTCCGTCCGCCATTTTGAGACCGTGCCGCTTTCACGAGATCCCCCGTCTCTCTGAGACCAGCATGTGAGGAAGGCAGACAGGCAGTGTGCTCTTCTTACCCCAAGCTCTCCCAGGATCCACTACAGGGGCGGGGATCTGTGGGCTTCCGTCGGTCCTCACGCAGGGTCGCCTCAGCCCTCCTTCAGGCACCTCGCCTTGCCTCTGAGCAGGACCCGGGATTCTCGGCTCTCCCCAACTGAAGCCCCGCCCCTTATACCAGGGCCCGGTCTCTCCAAGACCCGGATGTCAGGAAGTCAGACCGTGCCTGCTGCGCTCATTCTACCCCCACGGTTGCCCTGGACTGACAACAGAAACGAGCTTCTCTGAGGTGTCCTGTGATTGCAGTCCAAGGTCCTCTAGTTCTCCTCCTCAGGGTCCTCAACCTGACACCCCGCCAGACCTGGGAATTGGACCACCTGAGGCCCTACCCCATATCCAAGGTACCCAGTCTGAGACCCGGATGTCAGAGAGTGAGACCACGCACCTTGGGCTCATCCTACCCCACTACCACCAAGGACCAACAGCAGCTACAGGCTTCTCTGAGGTCTCTTTTGATTGGGGTCAGGGTCCCCTCAGTCCTCCCTCAGAGTCCCCAAATTGAAACTCCGCAGGAGCTGGGCTTCTTCCCTCTGCTCACTTGAGGACACGCCCCCTTCTCCCAGGTCCCCAGTTTCTCTGAGACCTGGATGCCAGGTAATGTAGCATGTGCTCATCCACCCTCTGTGCTCCCTGAGCCTTGATGTGAGGGTCCCACCTCTGGTCAACATAGGGGGCCTCCCCGGATCTGCCAGGGCTCAAGATGAGGTCCCTGAGGGAGATTATAAGGAACCCCACAGATGCCTACCCCTGCTGTCAGCCCTGAGCCACCCTGCTGGTGGGATGAGCACTTGGCAGCCTGTTCTGACTTCCGCATCTGTGTCTCAGATACATTAGGCAACTGTCAGAAGGGGCAGGGCCTCAACTGGGCAGAGGGGAAGATCTTAGTTCTTTGGAGGGTCAAGGTGAGGATGCTGAGGGAGGACTGAGGGGACCCTGAACCCCAGAGCAGAGTGGGCTCTGGGAGGACATAGGGTGGATGAACATATGCTGCATTTCCTGACATCCAGGTCTCAGAGAGACTAGGGACCTGGTATAGGGGGCTGACTTCCTGACATCCAATCTCAAACTGGGGACCTGGTGTAGGCAGCTGACTTCCTAACATACGGGGTTCAGACTGGGGTCCTGATATAGGGAGCAGACTTCCTGACATCTGGTTCTCAGGGCGACTGGAGTCCTGGTTTAAGGGCTGGGGGCTTCGTAGGGGAGAGGAGAGAATCCGAAGACCTACCCAGAGACAAGATGAGGTCCTTGAGCAGGAATGAAGAGACCCCACAGATTCCCGCCTCTGTCGTCAGCCCTGGGAGCCCTTGGGGTGAGAAGAACACACTAGACCTGTCCTGACTTCCTGACACCCTGGTCTCTGAGAGACTGGGGACCTGGTGTGAGGAGCAGGGACTCAGGGGCGGAGAGGACAGAGCCCAAGCGAGTCGGTTTTTCCCATCAGGTGACCAGCTTTAGCATCAGTCCTTCCAATGCATATTCACAGTTGATTTCCTTTAGGATGGGCTGGCTTGACCTCCTTGCTATCCGGGGTACTTTCAAGAGTCTTCCCCAGCACCACAGTAGTACCATTTTATACATAGTCTTGTGTATCTGTTAATCTCAAACTCCTAATTTATCCCTTCCCCTGCTTTTCCTCTTTGGTAACCATAAATTTGTTCTCTGAGTCTGTTTCTGCTTTGTAAATAATTTCTTTTGTAGCATCTTTTTAGATTCCACATATAAGTGATACCATACAATATTTGTCTTTCTCTTTCTGCCTGACTTCTCTTAATATGATAATCTCTAGGTCCATTTATGTTGCTACCGATGGCATCACTTCATTATTTTCCATGGCTGAGAAGGATTCCTGTGTGTGTGTGTGTGTGTGTGTGTGTGTGTGTGTGTGTGTGTGCACAAACCACATCTTCTTTCTTCTTTATCTAATCATCCACTGATGGACATTTGGGTTCCTCCATATCTTGTCTGCTGTAAATAGTGTTGCAATGAACATTGGGGTGCATGTATATTTTCATATTAGAGTTTCTGTCTTTTCCAGGTATATATTTAGGAGTGGGATTGTTGGATCATCTGGTAGTTCTGTTTGTAGTTGTTTAAGGATCCTCCATACGGTTCTCCCTATTGACTGTACCAATTTACACTGTTCACCAACAGTGTACAAAGGTTCCCTTTTCTCTGCACCCTCTCCAGCATTTATTCTTCATAGGTTTTTATGATGATGGCCATTCTGATCAGTGTAAGGTGATATTTCATTGGAGTGTTGATTTGTATTTGAATACTAATTAGGAGTGTTGAGCTTCTTTTCATGTGCCTGTTGGCCATCTGTGTCGTCTTTGAAGAAAGGGTCTTCTTTGGAGAAAGGGTTTTGTGTCAGGGTCACACAGGCTGGGTGGCTCAAACTACGAACCGTGTTGGTTCAGGAGGCCAGCCACTGAGGTCAAGGTGTTGACTGATGCTGGTTCTCATGATGGAGGTGGAGGGTCTGTCCCATTTCTCCCCCCTCACTTCGGGGGCTTTGCTGGCCATGGTGGCCGTGTCTGGGCTTGGAGAGCTCCACCTTCCTTTTCACCTGGAGTTCTCCTCTGTGTCTGTCTGTCTCTAAATGTGTCCTTTGTATGGAGACAGCCGTCCTGTTAGAGGAGGTTCCATCTGCATGAGCTCACTTGACCACCGTCAGCTCTGAGAAGACCTTTCCTTTGTCTGTAAGGTCACGCCGAGGTACTTGGGGTTGAGACTCCAGCACCTGACTCTGAGGGGACGCGATGTTACTCCTCACACCCTACAAAGGCTCTAAAGTAAGAACACACTGGATTGTTCTAAGGATGAAAGGACGGCCTGTGTAGCTACTGGGGGTGAATCCAGGGGTGAGGAGAGCAGGCCACTAGGGTAGGAGCCAGATCAGGTGGGGCCTTGTGGGCCTGTGAGAACTGTGGCTTTGCTGTGTTCGGGGAAGGAAAGGCCCGGAAGGCCCTGAGCTGGGTGCCTCTGGGACTTTGTCCCCATCATCACAGAAACATGGAAACGGAGGCTCCCTGCTAGGTGCTGAGATGCTGTTGATGTTCAGGCCCATGGCTCTGCTCCTCTGCCTCCACCCCCCTCGAATAAACAGGGAACCCTAACCAGGTACAAGGAAATAAGTGAGAATGGAGGGGCGAGTGGTCAGGTCCCTTGCAGTCATGGGCTATCTCTCTATCCCTCGGTTCCTCCTCAGTGGTCAAATGAGGTGACAGTAACCTAGCGGGTTATTTGAGGTTTGAATTCTGTGATCCTTGCATGGTGCCATCCCAGGCCCTGGCAAGGACATGACCGTCCCAGTAGTTTCTGCTCTCTGTTCTACTCTAGGCTCTGGGCAGGGACCAGGGCATCTGCTGACAGTGGAGGCCATGGTGTGAGAAGGGATGGGAGGAAGGTGGCTCCCAAAGGTGAAGACACCCGGGAAAGATACCTGGCAGGGCGTCTGAGGTCCAGGGCAGCCCCAGGGTCGAGGCCAGATTGGTTAGCACAGATCTGCACTCAGCAGCCCTGGTCTAAGATGGGGGGATCTGCAGAGCATGGGCAGTGATGGGGCCAGGGAGCTGGGGGTGGGGTGGGGCCCAGTGTTGGGGGAAACCAAGC